GGCAAGCACAGTCTGATTAAGGACAGTTTAGCTAAGGAGTTTAGATTTGGGCCAATAAGAGAAAGTCATTGAGTGATTTTAAGCAAGAGGATGATTACACTGGTGTTTAGAAATATTGCTCTTGCAYTGAAAAATGGACTACAAAAGCTACAGTCCAGCAGCAGTGACATCTGTTAGGCTACTAAAAGAGTTCAGGAAAGAGACTAACCTAAAGCAACAGGGATAGAAATAAAAAGATTGATTCCAAAGATATATAGGAAATAGATATACAGGACTTGATAACCAATTAGGCTGGGGGTTGGCAGGAAGGTGAAGGAAAAAAAGGAATCTAGACAAATCTAGACAAGGTTTTCTCTAGAGCTATGGGTGAAGGGAAGCATCACTAAAACAAGGAATAGAAAGACAAAAACAAGTTGAAGGTAAGGTATGCCTCATATGGTACCAGTACTTTCTGGTATATCCAGAATACATCTAATAAATAAGTCTAGAACTCAGAAGAGAAATCTAAGATGATAATACAAAATTGAGAAGTATTGCCCAGAAGAGTGGATGAAACTGTTTAGGGAAATATGTACAAAAGGATAACCCAAAAAAGAAAATTTCGGAGACTAAAAAAATATTTAAAACACAAGCAGATGACAGTTTGGCGAGTTTGATGAAAAAGGGAGTTGTCAATGCACTGAAGGTACAAAAGGGGTGAGGAATGGAAAGTGAGTAATTGATGGCTTGAAGAAGAGGTTACAGAGGAATGGTTGGAAAGGTTGGTAAAGAAAGCTAAACTAGATAGGATTCAGTGAATGGCAGGGGAGGAAACAAGATGAATGGCTTGAGAAAAGAGTAATAGAGAACAGAATTGAACATTTTTAGGATGACAGAGAGTTTAGCCTTTTGATAGGATGARTGAGATTATATTGAAAAGCAACCCGTGACACAATAAAAGTATTTAAAAAACAAATAAAAACACAAAATGTTGGATAATACATATAGTATGATGTCCAGACTCCTKTGCACAATATCAAGGTCTTTAAATCCATTATGACTTGGCCCATGCCTAACCACTGAACTTTACTTAATGCCATTTTCCTCCTGATTCACTAAGTCCCAGCAACACCACTCTTTCTAATCTATCAAAACATGCAAACTTATTTGGTCTTCAGGGGTATTTTTTTTTTTTTTTTTTTTTTTGCTGTTAGTTATACCAAAATGCCCTTATCCCTCTCAATGGCTAGATGTTTCAAGTCATTCAGATCTCAATTCTAATGTCACCCCCTTAGAGAGATCTGTCTGTGTATTTTCACACCAGCCCCAAAGTTACTAGCATTTCCTGTGTTAACAACTAGGACTCTCTGATATTCTTATTTACTTGTCCATCATTCTCCCCAGGAGGTCAGCTCCAAGAGATTTCATCTTCCTCATATCCACATATTGTTCACCATATATCTTAAAATTGTGTTTGGTACAGTTAGCCCTTTGTAGCTAAATGAAAATCTACACACACATCATTTACATGAAAAAAATTAAGAAAGTTTTGAAAGGATTAAGAAAGTTTTGAAAGGATCTAATATTTGAATTATTTGTACCAGGAATGAGCATGACACTAGAAGGACATACTATACCCATTCTTTTTTTTTGTTTTTTTTTGGTTCATCTCTATCAAAATTTTCTACATGAATCATGTCTTTTGCAATTGAAGAATTTTAAATAACAATCATTTAAGCCTAAGATAGTCAATCTATTCTACTTTATATTTTCTTTTTGTGGGTCATGATCTAATGACCAGTGGGAAAAAACAATCTGACTGCAGGCTGATCTTGGGTTGTTTGAATGGTAGCTCAAAGTTAGAATCTTGAAACTTGGAGTTGGAAAGAACTTAGAGACCATCTAATCCGTCCCCATTTATAGGTATGTAAACCACAACTCAGCAGTGTACTAAAGTAATTTAATTAATAAAAATAGAATACTAATGAAAAAATTCCAAAGATAAAATGAAATAATAAACAATAAAAGTTTATTAAAAATTACTCTCACATATAACCTACAATTTTCTGGTGAGATTATTACTCAAAAAAAAAATCTATTTCCTCAAGTCCTATTTGACCAATGAACCCATGACAAAAAATTCAGAATACATAAATGAATGCAGTAAAAATAATTCATGTTTGAGATCTTAACACCATTAGGTGACCAGACTAAACCAGCAGGCACTTCTTTCCACTAGAGTACACAGTCTGTCAAATATTGTAAGGATTCATTACACTCTGATTCAAATTTCTGCATCAAATTCTACAATGTGTACTTAATGAAGTTAATAAAAGTCAAATAGTTAAGAAATGCACTATTAAATATCATTTACTGAAACTACTTCATTACATTTTTACTGTAATTTCCCAGGAAACAACTAATTTCATCTTAACTTCTGAATAACACCACCTTATATTTACTTAATTATCTCGTTTGATCCTCACAATGCCATGGGCAGCAAATATTGCTACTCTCATTTGACATACAAAAATAAGACGCAAGCGCTAAGGAGCTTAGCCAAGATCATTCACAAAAGTTCTAAAACTCCATCCTCCAAACCTCTTAGATTGTTTTTTCCATCATCCAAGCTATCTTACATTTATCAATTGCTAAATGCAAAACACTTTATGTTCTCCTTTCTTACATATTGATGGAGAAGAGTACCAAAAATCCTAGCATTTCTATCCTATTCTACTTGAAATTTTAGTGCATAGCATTTAATTATTCATTCTAAAAATGATAAAAAGGATGTGAATAAGATAATTCTCATCTTGAGAATTATGCTAATCAGTAATTCTATAGGAAATCCTACCAAACGTTCAATTATTTCCTTAATCATAAAAAGATACTCTTATCTACAAAAGATACTCTTATCTACAAAGCTCTGTACTAACAATATAGAAAAACAGTGTTAAGAAAAAGGGCTTTACAGTTGGAAAAAAATCTGAAAACAAACCATCAAACTGTGGGTACATATCTTAAATCACTTGAGTCTCATCTTCCTGGTCGATAAAATGAGAATAACACCACATGTATTCATGTGTTGTTGGGAATTATAAATAATGTGTGTAAAGCAATTAGTTCTTAGAAAACGACCAATCAAAAAGGCTCAGCTCAAGAGGTTGAGGCTGGGAATCGCAAATTCAAAGCCAGCCTCAGCAACTTAGACCCTGTCTCAAAATTAAAAAATAAAAAAGGCTGGGGATGTGGCTCAGTGGTTATCCACCCCTGAGTTCAATCCCCAGAACCCAAAAAAAAGAAAAAAATAAATGACCAGATCACACTGTTGTTAGAGAAACAGATGCCCATAGGTACCGCTGATAGGCAGTCATTTATGTGAAGTTTATCTGTTTAATTTCCAGTGTGCCCTTATTTTTTTCCTCCCAAATTTGCAGCAAGACACAGTACATCACTCTTGCTCCCAGGAAACAAATTAAGTAAGTGCTGGATTTCACTCTTCTTTCAACCCCTGTAATTAAGCAATATTGTAATATTCTATTGTTGGACCATCCTGGAATTGGTCATTATCTAAATCAAAACTTATATGCTATTTTGGGCCAATTAACTGCATCTTTCACTCTATTTTGAAATAAAACTAATTTAATAAGCCAAATTTTTAATACAAATCACAATGCAGTGAATTCATACTGGGAGAAAAGAGCAGAAAACCTGCCAGACACTGTGGCACACACCTGTAATCCCAGCAACTCAGGAGGCTGAGGCAGGAAGACCTCCAAGTTCAAAGCTAGCCTCAGCAACTTTAGCAAGGTTCTGTTTCAAAATAAAAATAAAAGGGCTGGAGATGTACTCAGTGGTTGAGTGCCCCTTGGTATAATCCCCAGTGCCAAATGTTGGAGGGATGGGCAGAAAATGGACAGAAGGACCTAATACTGAGAAAAATGTATTCAGCAGTTCATTATACACTAATTTACTTTCTCTCTTTTAATCTTCACAAGCTTCATCCTAATCAGTATTAGATCAGTTTATAGATTGGGAAAGGTATTCCCTACTCTTACCTACAGAAAGGCTATTGCTCAATTCAAGCCCTTTTCCGTTTTATAATCTCTGCTCAGAGTGCTCTCCAGACTTTCCACAAGGCCTTCTCCTCAGGCTTCAGGTCTAACCAAATAGCACCTCCTCTGACTATCTAATCTGAAGTAGTGCACACCACTTATTCCATCCTTATTTCCTTTGCAGAACACGAAATGGTCTGTATTTATATTCTTGTTGTATTTAAGAAGAATGATTTGACTATTACTGCTGTTTCCTGATTATTCAGCATGGAGGAAGATGCTGCCTTAAAAAATGAATGAACACACCTGCCAACAGTCAATAAGCAAGTAAAATAGCAGGGCCTAGAAACCAATCCAAGTAAATCTGACAGTAAGCTCCCTTAATGTCCCACCACTACTCTTTCACAGGTGAGAGGTGAGTTACTTTGAGCTAGGGAAGCAATTAAGAGATGTGCACTGCTGCTTTGTAAGTATTCATTGTCTTTAAGGAAATTACAGAACTACCTAAATATATACTTCATTCTACAAAATACTTAACCCAAATTTCAAGAGACACAACCTTTTAGAATCACAATTGAATTTGTAAAAAAAAAAAAAAAAAAACAAAAAACACTGTATTTATGTCTCTGTAATACTTCAAAACCCATTGAATAATTGGCATCTGCACAGTTATTTAAAGCTAAAACGAAATTGAGTAACACACATTTTACTAACAAGCTTGTAATATTCTGTTCTTTTATAAGTTATTTTGAATTTCATCATACAGAAAAACTTACAAACAGTCATAAGATATCATACTGATAACGGTAATATTGTTCTTAAAGAAAGATGACACATGCATTCTGTTTCACTGTTAAGCCATGTTCTTGCAGGTAAAAGTCATCTCAAGTAAAATGCTAAGTGCACTTAAAGCAGACCACTAGTGACGTTCTCTTCGTAACCTTACCCACCGGGTTTAATACTTACTGAGTCCTCCATCCTCGGATACTCCTGTTCCTCTCATTCCTAGATAAGTCAGTCCCAATATTAGGAAAAATAAGCAGGCAGCAGTAAGGAGAAACATTGACAAGTAGTGAGCACTGAAACTCCCTGCTGGGGACACCTCCTCCCGTTTAAACTGCTGGAGAAGTTCCTCTTCTGGTTCTGAAAGCTTCGGTTTGCTGTATGCGTTTTTCAGGTAGGTATGATTGGAGCCGGTATGATTGGCGTGATTGATCCTGAGTGAAGTTGGGGCGGCCACAGCCGGACTGGGAGGGAGGCTGTTGGAATAAATCCTGGGGGAGTCCACACTGAAGGCCCCACCGCCGATGTGATTATTGGTTTTAAGAAGGGAGCCTGTAGATGAATCCAAGGTTGAGTCCATGTCAGGAAGTGGTGGGGGCAGGAGAGGGGCCAGTTTCTTAGCGCTAACACGGTATCTAGGAATGGGGCTGCAGTCCACTTGATCGCACCCTCCTCCCAGCTCCGCCGCTGCCTCTTCGAGGTTTCGGCTCCTGTCTAGACTCCCGGCAGCCGCCGCCCTGTCATTCATCGCGAGTCCTCCCCCATCCTGAACTGAAGTCTCCCGCCGGCTGCCGGCAGATTTAGCAGTCAGCGGAGAGAGAGGCTTACTATGGCTCCGTCTGGGCCGATGCCGGGAAAGGGAGTCGTCCTTTAATACCTGTCTGGTGGCCACGTCGTCGTCCTCCTCTTCCTCGGAGTCCGAATAGTTCTCACGGCAGCTGTAGGGGAGAAGCCGGCTACCATTCACTGCTCGGCTCGCCCACAGCGGCTCCTCCGCCTCGAGGTCCCTCTCCTCCCCGTCTTCTCCCTCCTCTTCCTCGTCCTCCGCTGCTCCATCTTTCCCCAACGGGGTCTGCAGCTCCAGACCCGTCGGCCTCCTGGCCCCCCACCACGAGTGGGGCTTCCTCCGCTCGGCCGAGTTGCTGTTAGTCACCTCGCTGGCGGCCAGGGGCGCCGGCGGCGCTTTGAGCCCGCGATACTGGAGCGCAGCCCGGTCTCTCCTCCCGCCGCCGCCCGCCTGGTCCCGAGGACTGGCCTCCACGTCCGACTCATCGGAGCTGAAGCCCAGCAGCACTTTGCTGCCAGCCACGGGGGTGGCTGAGGCGCCCCCGGGCCCTCCCAGGGGGCTCTCCGGACTCGAGACCGAGATTCGGCTCAGGCCCCCAGGGGTCCGTAAGTAGGAGAGGTCACCCGAGACCGGCCGGACCCCCATCCCCACGGCCGCCGCCGCTGGTCCGGCGGCGGCGACCGTGGCGGCTGCGGTGTTATTGTTATTACTGTTCCGCGTCTTGTTGCCGCGGCCCCCGGACCGGTGCTGCTGCTGCTCTTCCTCTCGAAGCTTCTTCAGCTTCTTGAGGTAGACCGGGCGGGTGCTCTCCGTCACTGGGCCCGGAGACAGGCCGTAACGGCGGAGCTGAGAGAAAAGCTCCTCATCCGAGAGCTGCTGGGGCCCCGAAGCCGCTGCCGCCGCCATTTTCTCTCCAGGGTGTTTTACAAGCTCCGCGCTACCGGAAGTGACGCGCCGCCCTAGACCCTGAACTAGACCGGGCTGCGTCGCCCTCCCAGCGCTACGGGTGCCTCGGCCAATGGGAGGCGCGGGAGGAGCTCACCTGAGCGGGAAAGGGCCACCTGAGCAGCGCGAAGTCCCGCGGCGGAGTGTTTCTCCACTGCTCACCTTGAAGTGGCTGCGCAGTCACCCCCTGGGTCTGGCTCCCTTTCCTGCAGTTCTCAACCCTGGCCTTCTAAGTGCCTTCCCCGTGAGCTGTCTCTTTCTAAACCGCACCTTGACCTCTTCCCAGGTTTCTGCCACCCGCGGTCGCAATCGAAGGGGAATCTGCCTTGAAGTTCATGACATTAGTTTTCTTTTCATCCAGATTCCCGCTGCTGAGGGAGTCCAGAGACGAAATCTTTAGAGCCAGACAAGATTGGCAATTTTCCTCTCTGGCTCTAGGTTCTTTTTGGTTTGTCTTTCCGCTTGACTTAAAATTTTAAAAAAATAAAAAAAGACTTTCACTGCTCTTTTTGAAAAACCTTTCCCTTCTCATTCCAAAAAGACACTGAATAGGCTAGTTACAATACACTTTTCAAGAATGCTAGCTATTCATTCACAATTTGATTTGTTAGTAACATTTTTTTTCTTTTTAAAAATGTTATGACCTCAGAAGGTCGTCTTTTTGGGAAATGAAAGAGACTGTCCTCTGCTTCATTTTAGGATTCTGACGACACATCATCCTATTTATTTACTGCTTAGCGTTTTTCCAACCAATAGTTAATTATTAATAAATACTTTTTGTTTATTTTAAAAATTATTTATTGTCTTATTCCTTTGGACTGTAAGCGCCATGCACAGAGAGCCTTGCTAATATTACAACACTAGTAGAAGCTCAATAAACATTTGTTGAATAAGTTAATGAATTGCAAAGCAAAATGGTATGAAAGGCAGATAAACCTTCACACAAAGTCAAAAAAAAAAAAAAAAAAAAAAAAAA